GTACTTTTCATTATTAGCATGCTTCCCTAACATGGTGTGAGAGTTTGTCATCCTTTTCTGTCGTGCCTCCCTGGAAGAAGGAACTGTGAGCATCTTAATTCAAAAGACATTTTTGTTGGACTGCTAACCTCAAGGTCCAAGGTTCAAACCCACCAGCTGCTCCATAGGAGAAAGATGAGGTTAACTGAGCCTATGAAGCTTTACAGCCTCGGAAATCCTATGAAGACCACTATGAGTCAGGATCAATTAGATGGCAGTGAGTGAGTGGGTATTGTTTACTCGAGGAGCTCTGGTGGCGCCGTGGTTAAAGCACCTGGCAGCTAACGGCAAGGTCAGCGAAGTGAACCCCATGGCTACTCTGTGGGAGACAGGTGTGCCAATCTGTTTCCATGAAGACACACAGTCTTGGAAACCCTGTGAGGCCATCCTACTCTGGCCTACAGGGCCACTAGGACTTGGAACAGGTTGAAGGGCGGTGGATTGAGTTTACTGTATACCAGACACTTAGGAGCCCTGGTGGCATAGAGGTTATGCATTGGGCTGGGCTCTGAAAGGTCAGAAATTCAAAACTACCAGTGGCTCCTCAGGAGAAAGACGGGCCTTTATAGACTAACCATTTATAGGGTTCTCCTCTAAATGGTTAGTCTCAGACACTCACAGGGGCAGCTCTATCCTGTCTTCTAGGATTGCAGTGAGTCTGTTTGTTTTTGATACCAGACACTTCGCATTAAATGTGGTGGCTTTGTAAAGCAAAGTGATTTTCATTGTTCAGAAATGGATATGTGGGGAATGGGGGAGAGAGAGAGTCAAAAGAGTAGTGCATTGGTAATTGGCATCAGGGTGCTGGCCCCTGCCCTGTCCCTTCTTGCCTGTGGATAACTTTGGACATCTAATCCTTCCTGGACTTGGCCTGATGGGGCTCTTTCTGGGGTACAAATGAGGAATGAGGATGAGCGGGGACGAGTATTCATCTAGAACAAAGAGAAGCAGATCAACAGAACTCTGGAAGAGCTGGAACCAGCTGGTGGTTTTGACACACATGCAGCCGGATATGGGGCTTGGGGGGCAGTGGGCACTGTGAGTCTCCTTGTCCGGTATCCACCCATCTCTTATTCTACTCAATAGATTCCTTTATCTTAGTGGCTTTTAATGTATGTGATTCCAAACAAGACTTTGAAAAATGGGTTCTCTTTCTTGGGGGAAAAAGGTTTGAACCAAAGTCATCTTATTGAATAATTTCTGTGTATTCATAATTCCAGCCTGCTAACAAAGGGCTGGCTCCCCTTCTCCAGCCACATCTGGGTGATGGGGAAGCAGGGAGTGGCTGGGATTGTGCCTTGGCTAAAGGGGAGCAAAGGTCTGTAGCTCTGTAGTCTAGTCTCTTTCCCACTCCCTGCCCCCTTACGCCTTTCTTTCCCAGGCATGATTCATACGCCCAATGCCCAGTTCCTCACAATGGAAGTATCCCAGGATGAGCTTTAAAGTCTGTTGTGGAACATGTGAGAAACATTTGAGCCTAGAGCAAATTCAGGTTGGGTCAAGAGGGCAGTCAACTGAGCAAGTACCATATTAGATCATGGTTTGATCCAACATAATCAAGTTTTTAATAGTCTCTGTTGGAGAGTAAAGAAGGCTGTTTGAGGCCCTTGCCTGTGACTAGTGGGGATCTGCCACAGGCTTAATCTGAATAGATAGTCTGCAGATGGATTTGGGGCTTCCACCCTCCTCCATAGTCTTCTACAAACTGGTGTTCACAATTGAAGCTCGGATACTTTCCCCTTCATCAAATTTGGATTTTGTTATTGTCATCTTTGGATCACACAGGCTGGTGTGCTTCTTCCCTGCAGACTTAGTTGATGCCTCACTGAGATGGCTGCTTGTTTGAATACAAGCCTTTAAGACTCCAGACATTCCAACTGATGGCTGGGCACCCTCTGCTTTCTTTACCACCCTTTGCTATAGTAACCTTACCTTCAGTGATCTCTTCATGAAGATGAGTATCAAGGGCCATGTTATAAGAACTAACTTGGGGTAGAGTTAAGTGGGAACCCAGAATCCATCTGCTTGTCTCGGGTTATGAAGGACTCTGATTTACTTTGGCAGTCATACTATGACAAAATAAAACCCAACAAGGACAACAACAACAAAACAAAAACAAACAAACAAGAAGCAGAAACAACAACAATAAAGAAACAGAAAAGAAAAACATTGTCAATCATCCCCCTAGGGCAGCAGTACTCAACCTGTGGGTCTCGACCCCTTTGGGGTCGCCTAAGACCATCGGAAAACACTTAGGTATTTCAAAATATATAATTACATATTGTTTTGTGATTAATCACCATGCTTTAATTACATTTAATTATGTTCAATTTGTAACAATGAAAATACATCCCACATATCAGATATTTACATTATAATTCATAGCAGTAGCAAAATAATAATTATGAAGTAGCAACAAAAATAATTTTATGGTTGGGGGTCACCACAACATGAGGAACTGTATTAAAGGGTCGCAGCATTAGGAAGGTTGAGAATCATTGCCCTAGGGTATAAGGCGATTGCATTGATAAGATCAATAATTTATCCAATGATATAGTGTTTAAGATTATGTTGATCTGAGAAGTTTATTTGAGTATAGTCCAACTGTGAGTGAAACTATACATTGTTACAGAAGCACACAGCCTCATCTTTCTCTTGAAGAGCCTCTGGTAGATTTGAACTACTGACCTTGTGTAACCCATTTTGCCCATAGGCCTTCAGTAATGCAACTCAAAGCGTGAGTTATTTTATTCCGGTCTTTAGGCTTTAGAAATGCTGAGCACTTTCTTCCCATTTGGTTTCCTAACTCCAAATCTTTGCACATTTCATCATAATAGTTTTCTGAAGCTGCCTTTGCTATCTTCTGCTTAGCTTAACTTCAACAGTTATTTCTTCCGTTTTCTTCTCTGAAGGTTCTAGAGCACATTCAGAGTCTCTTCTGACACCCACTATTGCCATTTTCTCTCTCTCATGTCTTTTGAATGACCTTTTCTAGCCTACTCTAGAACAGACGTGGGAGACATCTGGCCTGTGAGCCATAGAAGGCCTGAGAAATCACCATTTTTAGCTAACGTCACACGCCTCACTAAAGAGCAGTTTCAGCCATCACTTAAAAACCAAACTCACTGCCCTCCGGTTGATGGCACTCATTGTGACCCTACAGGACAGGGTAGAATTGCCCCAGTGAGTTCCTGAGATTGGAACTCTTTCTAGGAGTAGAAAGCCCCATCTCTCTCCTGCAGAGTGGCTGGTGGTTTTCAATTGCTGACCTTGGACCTTGCCCCTCACCACTAGACCACCAGGGCTCTTTGCCATTATGTTAGAGGTAAGTTAATGAAAGGCTTGACCAGTGGATAGCCCACAAATGATGTCATAAATATCTACCTGGCTCTCGGCAGATAAAAGGTTCCCTACCCCTGCTCTAGATGCCAGGCCACCAGGATTTCCAATGCTAGCAAGGTGGATGGGTTTCAGTGGAACTTCCAGACAGACAAACGAGAAAAGGAGGCCCTGGCTCTCTACTTCGGAAGGAACTGACCAGTCAAAACTTGGATAGCAACAGGTCACCCAGGGCGGGCAGGCTGCAGTCGAACGTTTGACTGGCAGATTCAGGAGAAAAGCCGGGGGTGCTGCTTCTCAGTCAATGATCATCCCATGGAATTTTGGCTGATTCCGTGCAGGAAGACAGGCCCCTCTGGGGTAGAAACTTGAAATACTCAAGACAACAGTGCGCTCGAACCTACCAAAGATTATGAAAATGGCACAGGACTGGGCCAGGCTTTAGTCTGTTGTATTTGGGCTGCGGTGAGTCAGCGCCAACACTGTAGCAAATACCACAAATGCCACCACCCTTCTGGCAAGAACCCCTATGTGCTAGTTCACATCGCGTGACAAACGTGCTCC